GTGCTCACGTCTCGGTTTCCTCGCAGACCCCAACTGTAAGCTGGAGGACAAGCCCGAGGATGGCGAGGCACTAGACGGCAGGAAGCGGCCGGAGGACGCGGAGGAGCTGGAGGACGAGGCGGTGCACAGCTGCGACAGCTGCCTGCAGGTGTTCGAGTCGCTGAGCGACATCACCGAGCACAAGATCAGCCAGTGCCAGCTGGCAGGTACGCACCGGCCTGGGCCTTCTCTCCTCCCCTCTCCCCGTGACCTCACTCCTCCCCCTGAGCACCTGCCTGGCAAAGAATGGTGAGAGGCCGGTGCACAGCCAACTCAGGGTCCCAGTCGTTCGGTTTCGAACTGTACCTGGGAGTCCGCAGCTAATGGGTATGTTTTAGTTTCCGTTTTTAGAATATACATTTTTATTGATTTCAGAGAGGAAGGGAGAGGGAGAGAGAGAGACATCAACGATGAGAGAGAATCATCAATCGGCTGCCTCCTGCACACCCCCCACTGGGGATGGAGCCCGCAACCCCGGCCTGTGCCCTGACTGGGATTGAAACGTGACCTCCTGGTTCACAGGTCGATGCTCAACCACTGAGCCACACCAGCCAGGGCTTCGTTTCCATTTTTAAACACACGACAGCGAGCCAGCCACCTAGGAGCTGACATGGTGGCTAACATGACGTTTGAAAATACCTCCTGAATAGTTTGTTCCCAAAGGCACTGAGCCTTCGCTTGTTATTCCAGTTGGCATGCTGTCTCCCCAGAGCTCCCTGCCCCTCCTCTGCCCTCCCTGCTCCTCTGCCTGGCCGCGCCTTCGTGTGCCCGTGGCCAGGCGCATCTTGGACGGCACCTCCCTCCGGAGACAGGGAGCTCACGGGTGGCAGGAGCTGCGTCTTCTTTATCACGGCGCCCCCCGCCTGTGGCGCACAGTAGGTGCTCACTAAGGCGCGGAAGCTGTTCTGCTCTATGGCTCATGGAAGAATCAGACTGAGAGGGACACGGAGTGTGGCGTGTTCAGGTGAACGGCCGGAGAAGAAAAACATGCAGTTCACCAAATGTCTACTCTCTCTGCATGTTTTTTAGATCCCTGTCATTTTCCTCCTACGTGTGCAGCTCACACTGCTCGTGTGTGTGTGTGTGTGTGTGTGTGTGGGTGTGTGTGTGTGTAGGCCTCTTCAGTATTATCTCTCCTCATTTCGTTTTCCTGGCACAAATGCGTCTTCAGCGACCCGCGTGGAGGAAATGTGGGTACGAGGCACGGCGGCTCGCCGCTGTTCTCCGCAGAACGTTGGTGTTTCTGTGGGAGTTTAGTAGGTGTTCCATTTTAGCCAGCGTCCCCGCACCGATCCTTGTGGAGATGTTGGCCTGAGTCCAGTGGACTGGGAGCTCGATTACAGCCACGGCGGCTCCTCGAGGAGGGGTTACAGGGCGTCCGTTCATTCCGCCCCAGAACCTGCTCTCTTTCAGAAAACCCATTAGCGTTTTGGAACCCAGGTGTGAGAATTGATGGAGCGAATGTAAACATTGGCCACGGACATATTTTTGTGTGTGTGTGGTTTTTGGTAACTTATTTTGATACAATTCCAAGTTTATAGAGATTTGCAAAACTAATGCCTATAGTTACCCATACTGCCGTTTACCCGACTTCCAATGGTTTACGGCTTACCTCATTGGCTCTGTCCTTCACTGTCTCTCCCTGTCATCGCTCTTTCTCTTGGTCACTTGAGAGGAGGTTGCAAACATCACACCCTTCTAAACGCGCCCGTGTCTGCCCTAAGAACCAACGCACCCCTAGTTCAACGCAGCTCGCTCCCCGAAACCAGGATGGAAAACACGCACCGGGGAATGCTACCCTCTGCCCCATACGTGGTACTCACATCTCAGCAGTTGTTACAGTCACGTCCTTAGAGCAATATGCAGGGTGTCTCCCACAAGACATACACCCTCTGAATAATGACTGTTTCCAGGGGTGAAACCTGGAGGGAGGGCCCCCAGCTGTGCGCCCTGGGACACCCTGTACTTTCCTCACCCACGACAAGGACCGCACACAATACTGCTGGCGTGGCTCTTGCGTTTCCTCCCACCTGGGATGCCCTCCCAGCCTCTGTCTTTCTCGACGAGCATCTCGGAGGGCCCAGCTGTGTTTGGGCCAGTGTGACGTTTCCGCGATTGCACGGGGGTCGGATCCATCCCGGCAGGAACCCCCAAGCATGCTGGGCCTGCGCAACGTTTTGGGCCGGCAAGCCCAGGAGCTGGTTTGTCCCTGTTGATGCTGTTAATACCGAGCGCCGGTCTGAGGTGGCACCCACTGACCCCTCGACTGTGAGTTACTTTGATCCCTGTGAGAGTCACCAGTGAAGTGTGGGAAGATGCTGGGACACGACAGCCATCCTCATAAAACATCCACTTTCACTCTGTAGAGTTTATATTTACTGGGTGGCCTCGTGGTTCACTACCCTTTCTTTCTTTTTCTTTTTTTAAATATATTTTATTGATTTTTCACAGAGAGGAAGGGAGAGGGATAGAGAGTTAGAAACATCGATGAGAGAGAAACATCGATCAGCCGCTCCTGCACACCTCCTACTGGGGATGTGCCCACAACCAAGGTCCATGCCCTTGGCCGGAATTGAACCTGGGACCTCTCAGTCTGCAGGCCGACACTCTATCCACTGAGCCACACCAGTCAGGGCTACTACCCTTTCTGATTATTTCATTTGTCTACTCATATCACCATGGGCTTCTGAGTTTTTATCTTACTCATTGGGTCATAATTCATTGCTGTCATTTTTTGGTGCCCAGATTGCCCCAGATTTAGCCAATAGGAGTCCCTTCAGACTGGATTCTGAGCCGTTTTACTGTGTCTCCATCATCATTTGAGGACTTAGTGCCTGTTCTTGTCCCAGCCCTGCCACCTGCCTTTATTCTGTGATCCCTGCTTCCTTTACGGGGACAGTGGTGTTTTGAGACCAAGGTGTGGACATCTGCTCACTGCTAGAAGTACATCCACTCTAGACCCTGCAACAGGCAGAATTAGGAAATGCATATGCATACTTAACGGAATACACCCATATAGTTCCTAAGTGACACATACGCATATTCATACACATCAGTGCATTCTTCTCTCTCTACTGGAAACGCTGTTCTCGTGGCTTCTAATTTAACCCAACAGCCCCGGTGTGTTCCAGTCCTTCCTTTTCATCTCTGTTACGCCTTCTCCAGCAGCGAGAAACCCAGCTCCCCTCATCCCTCGTGTTCACTCGTCTCTTGAGTCTAGAATACTCGTCAAGTAAAGAATTGCTTACTCGTGTCATCACAGTGAGCAAGCGAACTGAGTAGCGGTCAGTAGTTCTTGAAAAACACATACATAATTACTTATTGTTTTTGTGATTAGTCACTATGCTTTGATTATGTTCAATTTGTAACAATGAAAATACATCCTGCATATCAGATATTTACATGACGATTTGTAACAGTAGCAACATTACAGTTATGAAGTAGCAACAAAAATAATTTTATGGTTGGGGGTCACCACAACATGAGGAGCTGTATTAAAGGGTCGTGGCGTTAGGAAGGTTGAGGACCACTGTCCTAGAAATTTCCCTCTCAGCCCTTTCCAACGAGTGAAGCTCCCGCAGAAGGAGCTGGTTTCAGCGTTCTGATTGGTCGTGCGTGTGCTAGGACTTCCTGTCAGTGGGCTCACGCAGATGTCCTCTTTTTGGTGGCCGGCGGCTTTTGTTCGGCAGTGTCTGCAGGATGCGTTCATACTGTGTGTGTGTTTGTTTTTTCAGTTGTGGAGTCGTTGTCCATCGTATGACTATGTCGTAACTTCTTCTTGATTCTCCTGTTAGACATTTTGGTTATTTTAAAGGCCGGGTTATTGTGAATGAAGTTGTGGAGACCCTTCCTCTGTAGATCTTTTTGCGGATAGACCTGTGTTTTATTTCTCTCGAGAGGAATAGAAGTGCTGGGCTGTGGGTGTCGGTGGGGAATGTAGGCGTTCACTGTAGGTTGTAACTGGATGAAAACTCCGGAACCTGTTACACCTGCCGGCGTCTGAGCGTGCGAGTTGTGCCTCGCGCTGACATTCGTGTTGGCGGTCTCTTTGGGTTTAGCGTTCTGTTGGGTGTGTATAGGTCTTGTTTGTGGATTTCCTTACATTTCTAGCTCCTATATATCTGACTTCATTTAATGCATTTTCCCCGAGAATGCGTGACTTCCGGAGAATCCCACCAAGTGCAGGCAATTAGTACGATTGTGTTTTCGCTGGAGTCGCTGGGGCTTTAAAGGAAGCTTCTGGTGTAGAATCGACACCTACATTTGGGGAAAGGCCTGCGGGCTTGGCTGACGGGGCCCTGTGTACCCGGCTGCAAGGAGTCATGCTTGAGGTAAGAGTACTTAATCTCTCAGGGAAAAGGGGAACTTTCACATTCAAGTCACTAAGAAAACAAACTTCAAGCTCTACTTGTGCTCACTTATTGTTGAGTTTATGCCATGTGGTTGCCCTTCTGCTCAGCTCTGTGGAATAGAGCAGGAGCAGGACGCCTTATGCCTACAGTTTCTGTCTGTACTGCACAACCTCAGTCTCCGTGCAGGCCACCGGGCTCTCGGCACCTGGTCTGGGGAAGGTACTGTGTGCGGCTTAACTGTCGTGTCTCTTCACACACTACAGACCAACTCTGCTACTGTCCTTGGTTTATGCTGATGCCCAGCTTCCCAGAGCAGGGAGCCGGGTCGCTCCGTGCACGTGGAGCGGGTGGGAGAGCGGAGGTGGCTGGTAGCTTGATGGACGTTTCAAGAGCCACGGACCCGATGGGCCTCGGTCCTGTCCAGGCCGGCTTCTTGCCGAGGGAGGCAGGTGCCGGGAGAAGCAGGGTGGAAGGGCAGGGGGAGAGCAAAGGGGGAGACACAGACCAGGGACCATCACATTCGTTGAAGGTGTTAAAGTTGAAACTGAAATTGTCTAAGGTCTAATCTGGGGAAGATGGAAGACTCTGGGAGCATTTTCATTTAAAAGAGACTTTCACCTCCTTTGGCTGCGGCCTGGAATGGAAATCAGGAGGCCGACTCTTCCCCTTAATGTTTCCTGCTGCTCGACTTAACGCTGTTCTTGGTGGTTTTCTCCTTCTTCCTCCTCTTCCTCCTCCTCCTCCTCCTCCTCCTCCACCTCTTCCTCCTCTTCCTCCTCCTCTTTTCTTCTTTTTTCCCTTTTCCTTCTGCTGCT